TGGCAGCCATACCTCTCCTGCTTATATCTTTCATCTTATCTCTCTCTCTCTCTCTGTCTCTCTCTCTCTCCCCTCTACACAGTCTTTAAAACCTGCCTGTTTGGCTAAGCTTTTGGACATCTGACCTGATATCACCTTATATGGCGAGGGTCAGATTTCCTTTGGTTATGCTCCTGTGAAACATCTTGAATCATTTTACAATGTTAAAGCTCCCATCCCCCCACCATTACCATCTACACTCAGGGCCTCTGCTCAGTTTCAGGGTTGTCCCATGATTCTGGTAGAGCCTCCCAACATCCCTCCCCCCCAGGGCGAATATTTGAAATTGTGGGGAGTTTTCTCCTGGATTGGGTTTGTGAATCTGAGGATTGTCCTGACTCTGCTGTCCTGACCTCAGCCTTAAAATTCAGGCCATTGTTTTGCCGAATAATTCCATCAGGAGAGGGAACTAAAGCAGGCCATGGGGCCTGATGACATGTTACTAGGTCACGTCTTCAGTTTGAGTTGGGAAGCTTGAGTCAGGAAATTTCCCAATTTGCAGACCCCTGTCAGTTTAAAGGACCCCATTGGGTGGTGGGTGTAGGATAGGATTGGGTCTGCCAATCCTGGAAACAGATTCTAGGCCACCTTAAACCACCACCCCTCCATGCCAACTCCATGCCAACTCATGCTCCTTATGCACCCCATACCCTCCCAATGCACCTTCCTCAACCACTCACATAGTATCCAGACTGGACAGATCTGAGGAGCCATGTGGAGATGACAACAATATTAACATAACAAATTCATAGGGCTTTCATGTGAAAAGCATTCCCATTTGCAAAACACATTCAAGCTTTTAAATCTCAAGTGGTCAATCTCTTAGAAAAGCAAACTTTATTCAGATGCCAGAAAGGGACAAACCTTTGCTGGACTCTTTAAACTGTCAATCAAACCATGAACTCAAAAACTGTCTGCTAAGATAACTATAGCATTTGGAACTCAGCCAATAATTTGTAACATATGATAGTAGCTCTGGTGAAATGTCAACACATACCTCTATTTTAATGACAAAAACAGAGGACCTAAACCCTCTGGCCTTTCAATCAAAATGGTTTCTTTTTAACACTCACCAACAGTTGCAGGCTGTTTCCTTCATGTCTAAAGAGTGGGATGTTTAAAAAATGAAGATCAAGACACTTCAATGCATTTATCACACTTTCGAGCATGTTTACGACTTCTGCATAAATTAGTGACAGCTACACCATGGGCCAGCCCAAATAGGGTTTGTTTGAATTCAGCACTGAGCTCCAATGAGTTTGTGTATCTCTCCTGAAGAGTCCTACCCTAGACCCCCATCTACAAAAATGTAGTCAGTTGGAAATATGGCTGGGATGTCTGCCATTTCCTGTTCAGCGAGAATCTATGAAATTTGAGCCCAGAGGATCCAGTGATGTACTGAGAAGGTGGGTACTCATTGAGATCAATGTCTTATTGGGCCAATGATGTGGAGATGCCGGTGTTGGACTGGGGTGGACAAAGTCAGAAGGCACACGACACCAGGTTATAGTCCGACAGGTTTATTTAAAATAACAAGCTTCCGGAACGCTGCTCCTTCACCTGACAAAGGAGCAGTGCTCTGAAAGCGTGAGATTTTAAATAAACCTGTTGGACTATAACCTGGTGTCGTGTGACTTCTGACTTTATTGGGCCAATGATAAGGTGTAGGAGCAGATGTAGGGCATTCAGCCTCAAGTTTTCTATGCTATTCAATGAGAGTTGATCTGATCATTCTCAACTCCAATTTCCTGCATTTTCCCCATAACTCTTGATTCCTCCTTCTTGATTAAAAATCTTTCCGTCTCAGCTTGACTATGATAACAACCCAGCCTGTGAGCCCTCTTCAGTAAAGAATTCTACAGATTGGCTACTCTCTGAGAGAAGAAATTCCTCCTCATCTCCGTCCTAAAGAGAATCTACAAGTATATTCAGGGCAAAAGAGTAACTAGGGAGAGAATAGGGCCCCTTAAAGATTAAAGAGGTCATCTACGTATGGAACCATAGGAGATGGGTGAGATCCTAAACTGATGTTTCGTATCAGTATTTACTGTGGAGAAAACTATGGAAGGTAGGGAATTCGGGGAAATAAATAGTGATGTCTTGAAAAGATTCCATGTTACAGAAGAGGAGGTTTGGGAGGTCTTAAAATGCATAAAGGTAGATAATTCCCTGGGACCTGATCAAGTATATCTCAGGACATCGTGGGAAGCTAAGGAAGAAATTGTGGGGCCTGTAGCAGAGATATCTGTACCATCGACCATGAGGTGTCAGAAGACTGGAGGGTGGCTAATGTGCCATTATTTAAGAAAGGCTGCAAGGAAAAGTGAGGGAACTCTAGAGCAGTGAGCTGAACATCAATGGAGAGTAAGTTGTGTGAGGACATTCTGAGAGACAGGATCTACATGCATTTGGAAAGACAAGGACTGATTAGGGTTAGTCAACATGGTTTTGTGTGTGGGAAATTGTTTCTCACAAATTTGATTGAGTTCTTTGAATAGGTGACCAAGAAAATGCATGAAGGTAGAGTGGTAGATGTTATTTACATGGACTTTAGCAAGGTCTTTGACAAGGTTCCACATGGTAGACTGGTTAGTAAGGTTAGGTCACATGGGATCCAGGTAGAGCTGATTGTGGATACAAAATTGACTTGATGGTAGGAGACAGAGGGTAGTGGCAAAGGACTGTTCTTCAGACTGGGGGCCTGTGACTAGCAGAGTTCCACAGGGTTTTCTGTTGGATCCACTGTTCTCATCATTTCTATAAACGATTTAGATGAGAATATAAGAGGCATGGTTAGTAAGTTTGTGGATGACACCAATGTGGAATAGTGGATAGTGAAGAAGATTATCTAAGAGTACAATGGCACTTTGATCAACTGGGCTAGTGAGCCCAGGAATGGCAGGTGGAGTTTAGATAAATGCGAAATGTCGCATTTTAGTAAGACAAACCAGGGCAGGACTTACACAGTTAATGGTAGGACCTTGGGGAGTGTTATCAGACAGAGACACCTGGAAGTGTAGTTATATAGTTCCTTGAAAGTTGCACGGCAGGTAGACAGGGTGGTGAATAAGGCGTTTGGCAAGCTTCCCTTCATCAGTCCGAGCACTGAGTGCAGAGTTGGGACATAATGTTACTGCTGTACAAAGTCACTGTTAAGGCCACATTTGGAGTACTGCGTGCAATTCTGGTCACCCTGCAATAGGAAGGACGTTATTAAACTGTTCACCTGATAAAGGAGCAGTGCTATGAAAGCCTGTGATTTCAAATAAACCTGTTGGACTATAATCTGGTGCGTGTGACTTCTGAGATCCGACACCAGCACCTCCACATCATCATTATTAAACTGGAAATGGTGTAAGAAAATTTACAAGGAGGTTACTAAGACTGAAAGGTTTGAATTACAAGGAGAGGCTGGATAGATTGGGACTTTTTTCCCTGGAGCGTAGGAGGCTGAAGAGTGACCTTACAGAGGTTTATAAAATCATGAGGAACATGGATAGAGTGAATAACGTCTTTTCCCCAGGGTGGGGGAGTTCAAAACTAGAGGGCATGGGGTTAATGTGCGGGGGGAAAGATTTGAAAGGGACCTGAGGGGCATATTTTTCACGTAGAGGGTGGTGCATGTATGGAACGAGCTACCAAAGGAAATGATAGAGGTGGGTACAACGACAACATTTAAAAGACATTTGGACAGGGACATGGATAAGAAGGGTTTCGAGGGATATGGTCCAAATGCTGGCAAATGGGACTAGTTCAGGATAGGAAACCTGGTCGGCATGGGCGAGTTGGGCTGAAGGGTCTGTTACTATGCTGTACAGCTCTATGACTCCATGACTCTACATGTGTGAATCCTTATTCTGAGGTTATACTCTCTGCTCCTCCAATCTCACACAAGAGGAAACATCCCCTCTACATCTACCCTGTCAAGTTGTGTAAGAATCATGGCACCCAATTAAGCCCCAGCACAAATTAAAGTTGAGGAGCTAAAGGTGTCGCTCCAAGTGGGACAAAGGGCTATGAATGCAGGCTGTTAAAACGACCCAGTAACGGGGCTTACTCATTCTTTCATAAGATGATAGCATCTCTGGCAACAACAACATTTGTTGCCCACTCCTAATTGACTCTTGAAATAAGTGGCTTACTAGGTCACTTCAGGGGGCAGTTAGTGAAAACCAAATTACTGTGTGTCTGGAGTCACATGTAGTCCAGACTAGGTAAAGACAGCAGATTTCCTTCCCTAAAGGGCAGTAGTGAACCAGATGGGATTTTATGACAATTGAGGCTAGTTGTCCCGGTCAACAACACTGAGACTAAGTTATATTCCAGATATTATTAATTGACTTTAAATTCCACCAGGTGTCAGTGTGGGATTTGAAACCTCCAGGATATGGGACACTGAATTACTCATCTCGTGGTATAATCACTATACCACTCCCTTATTAATACAGGGTTGGCCAAAGAAATGGAGGGATTTGAAAAAAAAGATAACTGAAGTGATTAATTGGGTGTTATTTTACATCATCATTCAAGCTCATGATTCCTTGTTGAGTATAAAGTCTGTTCGTTATCCCTCAGGGAGTATAAGGGTCTGTTTCTGTGGCCCACCGGTACATTCTGTCTTGGGAAACCATTTCGAAATGGTGACATTTGTAGCCCATCCTTTACACTTTAGCACCCACGGTTCCATGTTTCCACGCCTGATGTGTTCCTTTTGAGAATCTCTACTTTGGTGACGGCCTAGTTGTTTAAGGCATTCATGGCACCTGACCAGCTCCAGATTAGACATGCCTTGTTTTTGGATCAAATGAATTCTAACAAGACTTTGCTTCTCCTGATCTCCATTCCAAAGGTCCAATCGTCAATGCTCAAACTATTTAGCATGAGCTTCAAAGAGAGACCCCCATCAGCCCAGACCCCATCCCCCCAAGCCCCCAAAGCCCTGTGAAAGGATTGACACTGACCATAGGTAGTTGGTTTGACAGCGGATGGCCATCCTGGCCCAGCATGTTAGACACCATGATTGCTGGAAGGTCCATGCCCTGGTAAGGGTACTGAGGAAGCAGCCCATTGGGAGGGACTGAATGGCACAGTGAATGGTAACTCGCATGAGGATCCATCAGGTGAAGAAAGGATGGGTCTCCGAGGTTTGGAGGAGTAATTGGAGGAATCTCGTAGTCTTCATCACCAAGTCCCTGGCCAGCAAAGGACTACAAGAAAGAAAAAGAAAAAGATGTGAAAATTTAGGTCAGAGCACACATCTAGAAGTATCTTCACTGAGACAAAATTGTTTCAAATGCAGGATTCCATAATTGAATTCAATTTAAAGCTATTCAATGTTTAATAATATCTAAAGGAATGTAACTTTTATTTTTTAAAAAAGTCCGTTTATGGGATGAAGGCATCGCTGTTGGGTTATCCTTAATTGCCCCTTGGTCTGAGCGTCCTACCCAGCCACTTCAGAGAGCACTTAACAGTCAACCACATTGCTGTGGGTCTGGACTCACATATAGGCCAGACCAGGTAAGGACAGCAAAGTGTTAAGGTCTCTATCTCTGAACCAGAAAGTCCAAGTTCAAGTCTCGCTTGTACAGGAGGTGTTCTATAATAGATTGATTATTTGAAATTTAATATGAATAAAAAGAATGATTTTGTTTCTTTAAAATTTTCATCTAATTCAAAAATGTACCATTGCAAAATGACTGATTCCATAGAATTGCACACAGGAAGTCAGAAATTAGCATACATATCAGGTGAAATAGACTCGGAATGTTGGGTAATCATTGGACCAGGTACACATTGTTAATCAGGTAATATCTTCACAAATTTGTCTTTTGTGTTAAATATATTCCCATTAGAAATGCCTAGAAACAGCCTCTGTAAATGCATCATACTGTAATCACACCCTTTGACCAGTGGAGACACTGCGATATCTTGACTGGGGGAAGGTTGTAAGCCCAGCGTGAGAAATATACACAGGTAGTTCCCAGTATAAATCTAGTCCTAAGAATGTACAATGAATAAATAAATAAAAAATCACAAAAGAAGCACACAAAAATAAGACAATTAATACAGGAATACCAGGAGTGGAAGTCATGCTGCAGCTATTCAAACCTCTGGGTTGCACGGTGGCTCAGTGGTTAGCACTGCTGCCTCACAGCACCAGGGACCCAGGTTCAATTCCAGCCTTCAGTGACTGTCTGTGTGGAGTTTGCACATTCTCCCTGTGTCTGTGTGGGTTTCCTCCCACAGTCCAAAGATGTGCAGGCTAGGTGAATTGGCGATGCTAAATTGCCCATAGGGCCCAGGGATGTTTAGGTTAGGTGGGTTAGCCATGGGAAATCAGGGTTAGGGGGAATGGGTCTGGGTGGGATGCTCTTCGGAGGGGTGGTGTGGACTTGTTGGGCCAAATGGCCTGTTTCCACACTATAGGGATTCTATGATTCTCTGGTTACATGTGAACAGTTCTGGGCACTCCAACTTTGCAAGTACAAATTGGTCTTGAGAAGAGTGGCAGTGTAAATTGGCCTGTATGATACCTGAATCCAATATTAAATTACAAGGAGAGATAGATAGTAAGAACTGCAGATGCTGGAGTTGGAGATAACACAGTGAGGAGCTGGAGAAACACAGCAGGCCAGGCAGCATCAGAGGAGCAGGAAAGCTGACATTTTGGGTTGGGACCCTTCATCAGAACGTCAATGAAGGGTCCCGACCTGAAACATCAGCTTTCCTGTTCCTCTGATGCTGCCTGACCTGCTGTGTTCCTCCAGCTCCTCACAGGGTTGTATTCACTGGAATTTTAGAAAGTTAAGAGGTGATTTGGTTGAAGTTGCTTGCAGTAGTTAGGGAGTCGGGGTTGAGGAGACATTGTTTAAATGTTGGACAGTGTCTTTCAAGAGAGAATTTGAAAACATTTGTGCAGACAAAGGTCGTAATTTTAAAAATCCACAAATATCAATTGATGCCAGACTAATTATTAATTTTAAATCTGAGATGAATACGTTTTTGTTAGTCAAAGATATTAAGGGACTTCAGGCAAAAGTGTGGAAATGGAGTTGGCACACAGATCATCTATTAGCAAAATAGCCTCCACTATTCCAACCTTCCTAATGTTCTTACAGATCAGCCTTACTCATGGCAACACAAAGAGAATATTTTTTATCATCCTTTGTGGGTGCACCACAGCTAGTTTGTTTTTATTGTAAAACATTGTGGGAATAATTTGCTGAGAAAAATGTGGTATAAACTGGTGAAATGATGTATGTGGCTTTACCGGAATTAAAACCACTTCCAGACTGTGAGGCTGTGTAACTGCCCAAGGCTCGTTGTCTGAGGTTATTTCTTAAATTCATATTTCCTCAGATTCCCCCATAATGATTCACATTCAATCTGTAGATTCCAGATTATAATCAGCAATAGATTAGTTCTCAAACCATTCTTTTCCAATTTCAGTGAGTGGTTTCAGTGGTGCATTATTAGTGTAAAATGTACAGGTAAATGAGCTGTGCTGAGTCTCTGTTTGAGGAAGAGATTCACTTCTTTTGTGCTCGATAGATTCAGCGGCACTACACAAGAATGAAGACCTTTTACTCCTTTTGGAGAGCATCCAGATATTCCTACAGACAGTCCTTGGTAAATTAGGAGAGATATGATAAGTTAGCACTTACAGATCTGCGATGGCCAAACTGACAAGGAACAGGCAACATCGATCAGAGAGCTGGGCACGTGGGGAAGAGTAATGAAACACCTGGGCAATGCTTCCCTCAAAAGGAAACACGCTGTAATTGAGCATTGGTATCAGACACAGCATGGCTCAGAGTGACTCTCTCCTGTTATCTCATCACCCCCTCAACAGACAGCCGGCTCCAGGGCACCTTTCTTCGGGGAGTCGTGTTGGGGGGTAGATTTGGGCGAGCTTGCCTCTGCTAGCACCCTCCAGTGGTCACACCTCTGACACCACCTTGAAATCCCAGTGTCAAACGCCAGGAACTGCCCCTCACTCTGTGCTGCCCGACCGTTACAGCCAGGAAGATGTCCTGGGGTCGGGGTGGAGCAGCTCAGGGTTCGCTCCATGGACAGGAACCTGGATATGGGAGCTGGTGGGCCCCCATTATGGTTGACAGGGACCACATTGTACTGAGTGCTGGTTGTTTGAGAAACTCCGGCTCAGAGCTGATGAGCTGGAGTCTGAGCTGCAAACACTGAGACACATCAGGGAGGGGGAGGGTTACCTGGACGCTGTGTTTCAGAAGGCAGTCACATCCCTGAGATTAGTTACCTCGAATCCGGTCAGTGATCAGGGACAAGAGTGTGAGACTACCAGCCAAGCAGGTAGAGATTTCCAGGAGGTAGAGCTGAAGGAGCCTCAGCCCTTGAGCGTGTCTAACAGGTTTGAGTTTCTTGCTCCCTGTGCGGATGAGAGTGGGGGCTGTGGGGAGGATGCGCAAACTGACCATAACAACATGGTACAGGGAGCCATTCAAGAGGTGGGAGAAAACAGAAATGTAGCTGTAATTGGAAATAGTATAGCCAGAGGAATAGACACTGTTCTGAGGCCAGGATTGAGAGTCCCAAAGCCTGGGTTGCCTGCCTGGTGCCCTGGTTCAGAATATCAATGATACAGGTAGAAAGAGGAAAGAGGTTCTGCTGAGGGAATATGAGTAGCCAGAGGCTAAATTGAAAAGCACAACCAAAAAGGTAATAATCTCTGGATAACTACCTGTGCCACAAACAAATTGGCACAGGGTCTACAGGATTAAAGAGGTAAACGTGTGGCTCAAAGGATGGTTTGGGAGAAACAGGTTCAAATTCATGGGACATTGGCATCAGCACTGGGGAAGGAGGGAGCTGTTCAAATGGGACCAGAATCCTGGCGAATCACAGCACTAGGGCAGTGGATAGAGCTTTAAACTAAATAGTGGGGGGGCAGGGGGGGCGCTGCAGTGAGTTGGGTTGTATGAAATTATGGAAAAAGTTCAATGAGGAAGGGCTCGGCACAGGTTGTTAAAGTTCCCAGAACAAGTGATAGGACAGAGTGTATGGAAAGAGTCAGGAATCTAAATTCAGGCACAGCAGGTATGGAGACAACTATAGGAAGAGGGGCATGGGGGCAGCCAATGCTGGACTGAGGGTGTTGTACTTAAATACACGCAGTATACAAAACAAGGTAAATGAGCTTGTAGTACAGATTGAAACTGGCAGGTACGATGCTGTGGGTATCAGAGACGTGGCTGCAAGGGGATCAGGGCTGGGAACTAAATATCCGAGGATACACGCCCTATCGAAAGCACAGGCAGATGGGCAGATGGAGAGGGGTTGTCTTGTTAGTAAGAAAGTAAATTAAACCAATAGCAAGAACTGATACAGAGTTGGAAGGTGTAGACACTGTGTGGGTAGAGTTGTGGAACTGCAAAGGAATAAAGACCCTGATGTGAGTTATATACAGGCATCCGAGTAGTAGTCAGGACGTGGGGAAGAAAATAAATCAGGAGATAGAACAGACGTGTAAGAAAGACGCTATTATAATAATCGTGGGGACTTCAATATGCAGGTGCACTGGGAAAATCAGGTTGGTAGCAGTTCCCAAGAAAAAGAAATTGTGAAATGTTTACAAGATTTTTTTTGGAACAGCTTGTGGTAGAGCCCACTAGGGAACAGGCAATTCTGGATTTGGCGATGTGTAATGAGGCAGACGTGATTAGAAAGCCGAAGGTGAAGGAATCCCTGGGGGTCAATGACCACAATACGATAGAATTCACGCTGCAGTTTGAGAAGGAGGAGCTGGAATCAGATATAACTATATTCCCATTGAGTAAAGGTAACTACAAAGACATGAGGGAGGAGCTGGTCAGAGTTGATTGGAAGGGGAGCCTGGCAGGGAAGACGGTGGAACAGCAATGGCAGGAGTTTCTGGGGGTAATTCGGGAGGCACAGCAGAAATTCATCCCAAGGAAAAAGAAACACACTAAGGGGAGGATGAGGGAATCATGGCTGACAAGGGAGGTCAGGGAGAGCATAAAAGCAAAAGAAAATGCATCCAATGTGATGAAGATTAGTGGCAAACCAGAACAATGAGAAGGCTTTAAAAACATGCAGAGGGTAATTAAAAATAAACAATAAGGGGATAGAAGATGAAATATGAGAGTGAGCTAGCTAATAATATAAAAGAAGATTGCAAAAGTCTTTTTTTAATATTCAAAACATAAGA